GCGCCTCGCCTTCCCCGCCTCTCTCCCCGCGCGTATATCAAAGGCAACATTTTTTCACTCCTTTTCTTCCCAAGGAACTGCACGGCCTTCTGAAGGTCACTGTAGGCAGTGCAGGGTCATGGCTACAGCCAGGGGCTTGGTGTCAGAAAGGGCGGGACGGGCGCGGCCGCCTCCCCGCGCGTCGCCCTGCTGTGAAGTGGGTGCTGGTCAGCTGCTGTGAACCTGACGCAAACGTGAAGACGCCTTGAAGGTGACGGTGGCTGAATGAATATAAGAATGGGGCGTCCTTCATTCTGTCTTTCGGGTAAACGTACCAGGCTACGCCTCACAATGCTCCTCACTCATTTCGCCAGACGTTTACAATTGTGTTCTTCTGATCGGCACTTTGCACGATAAACGCAGGAAAAGGAAAAAAACAGAGTGTGTCCAGGAAGGTGACCAGTGTCCGACTTAAAAATCATGTCATGTGATGAAAAGCGGACTAAACAGAGTTTTGAGCCTGCGGAGGTTTTGGAAAGTGGGGAAGTTACAGCGAAGGGGGGCCCGTGACTCGCGCCGTCGGGAGCGGCCAGTGAGCGGGAACTGGGAGAAGTGGGCTCGATGTGAAGGGGCGTCTGCATCCTGACCCCGGCTGGCGACGGGGAGGCGCTCCTCCGACTGAAAGGACCTGGGGAACGGGGTAAGTATCGGCCCCATTTGCAGCCAAGGGCATCTTCTACGTTAGGCAGGAAGCTGCTGTGCGATGCCGCATCTGAGATCCGCGCTTTGGAAAGAAAACTTCCTACTAACTTTTTAAGTACATTAAAACTCTATTTTTAAGTCCCTTTTTAAAAATTTTTACTCAGATGAATGTCTTTACCAAGTATCTTTCCCATCCCCATCTTTCCCAATATAGTCTGCAAATCTCACTTCTTCAGTGCAGTTTCCTTGCCTGCTTAGCCTCAGTTCAACTAGCTGGTGGTGTTTTTTTACCTCCCATAGAAGTTTTTTTAAGTATTTAACCAGTATTTATATCGCGTGTCCTGTGGGCAGACGCTGCTTTAAGTTCCTTGCAGTGTTATTTATAGCCCGTGTGCCAGCCCCACAGAGGAGGTGCCTGTGACGGTACCGGTGGCACTCACGTCCCTCTCAGTGTTCCGGGGAAGTCAGGAGGCATTTTCTCCTGTTTCTGAAAGAGCCTGCATACCGTTCGCCAGCAGACACCAAGAGGCTAAAAGAGGCCTGCTTTCGTTTCACTTAAACATTCGATAAACAAACAATACACGTAACAGCATCATGTAAAATTAGAACAAAACTGCCCCCCTTTTCTCAAGAAAAAGTTATTTTGTGCACCAGCCACCAAAACTTACTTTTCCATTCACAAAATACCTTGGCCAATGGAAGCTTGACATGACGCGCGTGAACCCGTAAGGATGGGCGAGCATAAATGCTACTCCCATTTTGTAGAGTCTGAAAGTCACAAGAGGACATCATCGTGAGAGGAAGCAACGTTGCAGTATCGTTAAAAGGCGGGCGAAGGGGAAGTGACCGCGTTTCCCACCTCGAGTCCCAGAACGTGAGGATGGACGCGCCCCCCGCGCCGTGGCCCCGCTGGTTGTCATGGTTGTCCACAAAGACGAGCGCTCTGTTGGAAGGCATGAAGCCCCAGCCTTCTCCCCAGTTCCTGCGAAAACACGCAAGCACGCGCACACACACACGGACACACACAGGTGTTCTTTTACCATAGCTGTAGAGCAACCTGGACGTGTATTTCTTTCAGTACAGCAGCCTCAACTGAAATCCTCCAATTGAAAGGATTTTCTGTAAGGTTTATACATACAGGGGTGGGCAAGAGTAGCTTTACCGCTGTTCGTATGGAAAAAACACAACTAAATAATACAATAATTAATTAATAATACAGGAATAAACTCGCAGCTGTGAGCCTACTTTTTCTACCCTTGTATATACTATATAGATGTAGCTATATTACCTACAGATGCACTCCATATATTATATATGCATAAATTACTTGTATATGTTCATGCTACAGGCATTTTTGTTATTAGCAAAACCCCTTTTAGAAGCCTTAGTGTATTATAATTGAGAGGGACTTCGGAAGGGCCAACTTCCATCTCATATTATACAGAATGGCAAACCGGGTTAAAATTAGGCTTCAGTATTATAGGTTTATAACATAAACATTTTAAAATTTGAAGTTAATTGACACGATACATGTAAATCCCACAGTGTGGCCACATTGTAGGGACTTTATCAATGATAGAACCACTTCAGTAACAACCTGGACTTCACGGGTCACATGCCAACAGTCAAATCTAGTACAGTCATACGATGCGTAGCTTCAAGCCTCTGGGTTTCTAGACATACTTCCCTGGGACTGACGTTCTAAATAATGAAGATGACCCGTTTGCGTTTGGGGAACTGTAACTCTTGTTATTAGGAACTGAATCCTCGAAAGTGGCCTAAATACAGTCTTAGTGAGGTAGCTGGTCCTGGGGTCATAGGACATGTAACGTCTGTGGACTGAGCCCAAGGACAAGTGGTGTCGCATTTACTTGAGGTAGGCCATCCTCTCTCCGCTCCACTTGCGCAGCACTGTGCCCAGCTTTGCTCCGTACTTGAACTCCGTCACAAAGCCGTTGTCAAAGTATTCACTGCTTTTAATGGACTCACCGCCCAGATCAATTACCTAGAGGAGACGCAGGGGAAATGTCGCTTCAGGTTAGAGTTTTAACCAACAAGTGACTATCATATAGAAATGGCTTTAAACTGTCCATGTTATTTGACATGCCCCAAATGATTCTCTCTTTGTTGTTGTTAAAGTATTCACTGCAATATTAAAGGTAATACGACAGGGTGACCTGTTGTCCTGTGAAAGCAGAGTCTTGACTGTAAACAGTATAAACGAACAACCCGTGCGTAGCAGTCAGCATCCTGCCGACACACTTCTAAGTGCGCGATTCGTATTAACTCGTCTAACTTCCTGACAGCCACAAAGACGTCGCTGTCGTCATTACCCCTTTCCTCGCATGAAAACACTGCTGTGTAGGAAGGCGGATCAGTTCGCCTGAAAGAACACAGCTTGATGGTGCTGCAGGCAAGATTTAAACTCACTCCGACTGGCTCAAGGCAACAGCTGGCTCAAAACAACAGTCTTCTCTGATGGTCTCCGGGGAGACAGTCAGGGACAGAGGATGTTTGCAGCCTAAAAAAACCTCGGCACGTCCTCAAAACCCCTCGAGATCAAGAGTTTGACGAAGAGTGGCCTACGAATAAAAGGGGCTGAAGAACACTGTTCACTGTTCCTGCCCTGGCGGCCAGCGTGGCTCAGCCGGCTGAGCACCGTCCCCCCCATCGAAGGGCGCCGGCTTGATCCCCGGTCAGGGCGCACGCCCAGGTGGAGGGCCTCGGGCCCAGTGCGAGGCAACCAGTCGGTGCTTCTGTCTCACATCCCTGTTGCTCTCTCTCCCTCTCCCTCCCTCCCTCTCTCTCTCTCTCCCTCTCCCTTCCTCTCTCTCTCAAAAAAACCAAACCCAAAACAAAAACAACAAAACGCTGTTCTCTACAACTGAGTCCTGTTCTATGTAGATGATTCCTCTACGGACCCACAGAGATTATATTTTTAAGTAAATCTGTCACTTCCTAATGAAGGAAACGATATAGTATATGCACGTGTACGTATCGACGTACCTCCTGGTAAATGAAAGGCTTCGTTTCTGCTGGGAACCAGGTTGTATTCAGATGGCGCAGCTTATCCAGGACGGCCTTCATGTCTCCGGGCCACATGTGCTTGGCAGCGTCGATTCGGAAGCCTGCCACGCCGATGTCGATGAGGCGGTTCATGTACTCGGCCACCGTGGACCGCACGTAGTCCTTCTCTAGGGCCAGGTCAAGCAGCCCGACCAGGCGACAGTCTCGGACCTGTGGAGGCGAGAGTTTGAGATTGACACATAGAACGTCATGGCCGCCTGAGAATCCGCGGCTTAGCCAGTCATTCACTCGTTAGTTAATCGGCATTTCTCTAGTGTCTTCTCCGCGTGGGGCACTGGGGACACTGACGCTCCAGGCCGGACGTACCTCTGCGATATTTTCTATTATAAAAATGGAGAATGTAGGGAGTGAAGTGGATGAGCTTTTCAATTGGGAATAATTAAATGGGAGAAAGTGTTTTTTAAACATTGATTTGAGGTTCTTTCCCAACAGCAGACGCGGAGCCCGTTTTAGGGAAGCTGAGCCCGCGTTTGACCGGAGCGGCCGGCTGTGGGGATAAAGGCGCAGGGAGCTCCCGCTCCATCCCCGGAGCTTCCCATTCATTACCTGATAAGCATCGTTGTAGTTCTCAATGTCGCCACTGGCAGTTCTGCATTTATGGTCGTTAAAGTCCCAAGCGGAGTAGGGGACGGAGGGAAAGTCCCTGGCTCCCGGGTTGAAGAAGCTCCCGCAGGTGCTCCTGGTTCCCGCGCTCACGCCGTTCCCACACATGTGGTTGATGACGGCGTCCACGTAGATGTGAACCTGAGAGGCAACGTTTCTATTTCAGCACGACTTGTAGAGAGGCAAAAATTACAACATCATTGACGGCCGTTTACAGCGTGTTAGGAGCACCCCCCCCCCACGCAGTGTCTTTGCTACTTTGTAACTTATCTTCCTGGGAGAACAACAGTAAAGTGAGTGGAGATCGAGGTGAACTGAGGACCTGCCTGCTTCGCGGCCGCGAGGGCAAATGTTCACGTATGTCCATCTACACGGTACAGTAACAGAACCAGAAACTACCGTCACTGTGGAAAGGGGCAAAGGGCCTTTACTGGGGGAGGGGAGAATATGTTAGTTGAGACAGGAGAGAGCACTGATTTCTGAAATTTCCATGGGTGGCCCTCAGAGCAGCCAACCTCTACTGTCTACTTAGCATCTGAAGACAGGGTGGTAGGTATTGTCTCATTATGTCCCCCATCCACGGGATTATACCCATTTACCATCAAAAAGCCTATGGGGAAGCCCGGGCCGGTTTGGCTTGGTGGTTAGAGCATCTGCCCGGACTGAAGGGTCCTGGGGTGCGATTCGGGCCAAGGGCACGTTCCTCCGTTGCAGGCTGGATCCCGGCCCCGGTGGGGCGCGTGCCGGAGGCAGCCAGTCGATGCGTCTCTCTCACACTGATGTTTCTCTCTCTCCCTTCCACTCTCGGAAAAGCAATGGAAAAAGTATCCTCGTGTGAGGATTAAAAAAATTTAATTTAATTTAATTTAAAAAGCACCAGTGGGGAAGAAGGTGGCTCGGGAGTTATGCGTAGAGGCAGGAGCCACAGAGCAGCGAGGGCAGATACTGTGCCCGGAACTTCCAGTTCGGACTAGAAGAATCCCCAGGAGCCTGCACAGCTGGATGGGTTAGAAGGTGATACCTGCTTTACAAGCAAGATGACTTTAAACTTTGACTTGCATTTTTATTAGCTACATGACCCATATACAAAGATTCACAAAACTGAACAGTAAGCAACAGTTACATGGTCGTCACAGCTCGTGGATAAAGTAAAGTAAAGCAGAGGGAACATGTTCTGCTCGAAAGGAGCAAGAGGCAGGAAAGAAATCACATTTTTACATAATAGTTTTAAAGAACAGAATCCACTTACGCCCACGTCGTTGCATCTCTTCACCATGTCTCTGAATTCATCTTCATTTCCTGATCTTGTACATAACTTGTAGCTAATCGGTTGGTATCTTTCCCACCAAGGTCTTAAAGGGTCATTAATTATAACGTTTTCGTTGGGTGGAGAGATCTACAAATAAAACGATCTTAGGTGTCAAACGGTGGCTTACTTTACATCACTGGACATTCTGGAACATAACCAGTGACCTAAAATTATTTCTCAATCTTTGTATAAACCGCTACATTTTTTAAATAACCTCTTGAAATTCTTAACAGTCTATTGGAACTATCCTGCTGAAGAAAGACTATGTCAGAAACAAAACATAAAGCGGCCAACAATACTAAATGTTGTATCTTCCTCACAAAACCCTTTCCTTAGCGCATTTATTTATGAAGGAACATTTCCCAGCCTCAGGGACGCGGATCGCAGCATCAGCTATAAGCTCACACCGTGAGCAACACCCACCTGGACCCCTCCGAATCCTCTGGGAGCCAAGTATCGCTCGCACTCGAGAGCGATGTCGGCCCAGCGCCACTCAAACAGGTGCACGATGACCGTGCGCCCCGGCCTGGTGTTGGGGTCCCACTGGGCCCAGCAGAGCCCAAGGGCTGAGAGCAGCAGAAGGAACTTCATTTTGCTCTGAAGCTGTCAGTGTTCTTTCCAGCGACTATTTATATTCCTGCGGGAAACATATTTTACAAAGTAAATGTTAACATGAATAAATACTCAGAACACAAAATATTTATTCATAATCTGAAAAGCATTATCGATAGTGCTGTCCAGAGAGGCAGAACAGTCATGAAATGTTCCAGGAAGAGAACCTAACTGACCTTTTACAAAAGAACATAATATTTTCTTATTGAGGGAATATTAGCCCTTTTAAACATCTGGCATTTTATATACACATAAAAAGGAGTCCTTAATCATCTATTATTTACTTAGGATTAGATTTCACTTCTGAAGTCCTTCAAGGATAGAAGGGAAATAACAAGCAGAGCCAGCCAAATTCAGTCGAAATTTTGCCTTCGCCGTCGATTTGCAAACACTCGTCATGTCTCAACTTCAGAAAGAAGCAGGATTTCCAGTTCAGGTCTGTTTTTTCACCCCCAGCCCAAATTTTCAGTTGCTTAAGTTTCTGCATGAAGATTTAAGAAACTATATGTGCCCGTGAATTAAGGAAACAGACCATTTTGCCGCCTCCGTCAAATCACGTGCTTAACCCAGTGGCTAGAGAGCTCGTGTGTGTGTGCACACGTGTGTGTGTGTGCACACGCGCTTGTTCTCTATACCCCTATATCCCAAGCAGTCTCACATCTCAGACAGACACAAATGTATATTTTTAACAAATAAATTAACATCAACCAAGAAGAGACCAGTTATCTACTCTTGTCATTTGTAGCTATTCTTCTAGATGCTTTATAACTATCTTTATAGCAAGTAATTTAATAAGAGTATTATTTAAATTTTTAATAGAAATACCTTCAACATCACATCTACACCTGTTATTAAATTACTTATATTTCAGGTGTTTTTACTTTATTTTTTCTGTTTTCCCAATTTTCAATATCCTAGTGCTTTAGGTAGTAATATTACTACAGCATTTGGTCAAGGTAATGGTTTCTCTTACTGGAAAAAGTCTTAATCCCTCTGAATTTCACATTGAACTTCATGTGCAGTTTTCTTCCCTGTTGCCTATAAGACCCCCGTGCTCCCCACCCCCCAGAAAAAAAGTAAAAAAGGAAAGAAAAATGAACCTGAGCTCAGGATAGTAAGTCACGTGTGACGGTCAGAGAAACGCAGGCAGATAGTCAAGTTTGCCTCCGGCCCTCTGAGATGAGAGGGACACCTTGCGGGAAGGTTCAGCCACATTTCAGATCTAATCAGTACATTTAGTGTTGCTGGGGACTGAAACCTGAGCTGTCAACAAGCCTAAAATAGACTCTGAAACTTTGAACTGTATCAAGTCACAGGCCAGAAACCACTTATTTCAAGACATAAAGGGGGGCAGGGCTTATATAATACTCAAAAAACCATTAAAGTAACTTACCACATCAGCTTCCTGAAGTCAGCAATCTCTCAAATCCTACCTTTTTCAATTATAATTTTTTTTTAAAAAAGTTCTCTTTTTCTCTTCAATTAGGAAAAAAAAATGCTGAATTTGACTTCATAGATTTTCCACAATCCTTTCAGTAGTTGCTCTGACGAGCCTGTTTGACTTCTCCAAATGCAATTTGTCCAAAGTCTGACCTGAGCTCCACTATGACAGCAGGTCAGTCCTGTCTCCTGAGCAAACCCTGGCCTTCCCCTCCCTGCCGCCACCCCACCAGCCAGCAGCCCTGCACCCTCTTCAAATTACAAGGTCCAGCGCGCTCGCGTCCGGCCTCCCTTCCCCTTTCTCAAGAGCCTCTCCCAGTCTCAACAACTCTTTCTTTTCTGAACCATTTATATTCATCTATTGGGGAAAAATTTTTGCTAAAAAAACACCTTAAAGACAGATTAGAATGTAATTGTGTGAAATTAGTTGCATAACATTAAGTGTGACGAGAATGTAAACAAAGTCTCTAAACCAAAAATCTAATTTGGAATCCAAGCTTTGCCAACCACTCTGTGAGCCTGGAAGAAAACTATGAAGTCTAAAGATTACATGTAGATCTTCATTTAGAAAGTGGGAGTCATAGCAGGTGGTAAAAATAACTAAAAACTAACGACATTCATCGAGCGTTACTGGGTGCCACTTCCATGCCTTATCTCCTGGATTTCTCACATACGTAAACGAAAGAGTTTTGATGGTGCCCAGTTTTCAGAGGAAGAATCTGAGGCACTGAGAAATTAAGTAGTGTAATTTGTCCAAGGTCAACTTTTAGTAAATGTTGAGACTGAAAAATCAGAACCAAGCAGTGTGTCTGCATAGTGAGCTTTTAATCCAGTCTTATCTGTCTGTCACTGGGTCGCTATAAAAAATTAATAAAATATTGTAGGTAAAGATATTTTGGCATCTGGAAATTTGTTTGGCTAATAGTAATATGTTTAGAAGATTTCTACCCACCTGTGCATCTGAAGTAGGTGGAAAGTACCTTGTAAGGACTGAGGATCCAGGGGAGTTGCCCAGACAGGGAGGAGGGGGACCTGGAGTGTGCACAACTGGGTGGACACTCACGGGAGACTGAGGATGTGTGGAGGTCCCTTTACAGGGCATTTGGTCCTGTCTGAAATGTCCACAGAGACATTTGGTCCATGCCAATGCGTCCTTGAAATCTGGCCTGGTTAAAAACCTCCATGAGCATATTTGATCTGTCCCAAATGGTCCTTGATATTTGGTCCTGTCCAAACACCCATGTGAAGAAAAGGGAGCCCACCGNCATGAGCATATTTGATCTGTACCAAATGGTCCTTGATATTTGGTCCTGTCCAAACACCCATGTGAAGAAAAGGGAGCCCGCCTACACCAGCAGTGGGAATGGAAAGTGGGAAAGCCACTGTGGAAAACAATACAGAGGCTCCTCAAAAAGTCCAAAATAGAACTGGTCCACCAGTCTCACTTTGGGGTATACATCCAGAGGTAAGAAAACATCCTAAATGTCTGTCAAGATTAATGGATAAGAAGTGGAGATACACACACACACACACACACACGTAATACACACATATATATATTTTACATGTATNCCAAAATAGAACTGGTCCACCAGTCTCACTTTGGGGTATACATCCAGAGGTAAGAAAACATCCTAAATGTCTGTCAAGATTAATGGATAAGAAGTGGAGATACACACACACACACACACACACATATACATAATACACACACATATATATTTTACATGTATACNAAGAAAACATCCTAAATGTCTGTCAAGATTAATGGATAAGAAGTGGAGATACACACACACACACACACACACGTAATACACACATATATATATTTTACATGTATACACACGTGTAATTTATATAAAATGTATATAAAATATACAATAAAGATATATAAAATATAAATTAAAATGTATAAATGAAATATTTTCAGCATTTAAAAAAAAGAAGAAAATCCTATAGCCTGTGACAACTTGGATGAAATTGAAGCCATTAATCTACGTAAAATTATCCAGACGAGACACATCCTGCCAGGTATTACTTACATATGGAATCCAAAACAATAAAAATAAAAAATGTCAAAACCTATAGCCAGATAGTAGAAAAGTGATTGCCAGGAACTAAGGGATGGGGGAAATATGAGGTTGATAAAAGGGCACAAACTTTTAGTTACAGAATGAGTAAGGTCTGAGGATCTGATGGGTAACATGACGACTAGTTAATCACATTTGATTGTATAACTGAAATTTGCTACAAGAGAACTTGAATCCATGAGATGATGGGCGTGGTAATTAACTCGATGGCGTCCACTGTGGGATTTTCATATATGGCTTTTCTTAAGTTGAGGTAGTTTCCTTCTGTTCTTGGTTTGCTGAGTGTTTTCATCACGAAAGGGTATTGAATGTTGCCAGATGCTTTTTCTGTATCGGCTGGGACTAACTATCCTGTTGTTTCGTCCGTCATTCTTTCAATGTGGTGTGTTACACTGATACATTTTCATATGTTGAACCATCCTTGCATTCCAGAAGCAGACCCCCCTTGATTATGATGCATAAACCTTTTAAAATATGCTGCTGAATTCAGTTTGCTAGTATTTTGATGAGGGTTTTTGCATCAATATCCATAAGGAATATTGGCCTGTAGTGTTTGCCTGGTTTTGAGATCAGGGTTTTGTTAGTCTCGTAGCGTGAGTCAGGAAGTGTTCCCTCCTCTTCAATTTTTGGAAAAAGTTTAAGAAGTTTAAACGTTGCTAGAATTTCATAGGAAAGCCATCAGGTCCAGAGCGTTTGTTTGCTCTACTGAAACTTTANCCATCAGGTCCAGAGCGTGCGTTTGCTCTACTGAAACTTTTAAAAATGTTTAATGCCCTTCTCTTCTCTTGCAACCTTTTTTATTTAAAGTCTGTTCTGTCTGCACAGGCCCCTTGCTCTCTTTTGCCTACTACTTGCATGTGACGTTTTTCCGTCCTGTCACTTTAAACCTCTGTCTTTGGATCCGAGTCTTGCAGAAAGCACACAGTTTGATCATGTTTTAATCACTCTCCTAACCTTCGTGTTTTGATTGAAGAGTAATCCTTTCACACCTAGTGACTGAAAAGGTGGACTTACCTGTCATTTTGTTTCCTGTATGCACTTCAGCTTTGTGGTCCCTCACTTCCTGGCTGAGTGTCTTATGTTTCGTTTCCTACAGTGAAATGTTTAAATTACTTTCTCACTTTTTTTGGTGTATATTCTTGTCTAAGGTCATGCAGACTTTACCCTATGGTTTTTATAAGTTTACCATTTTACATTTGGGTCTGTGATCCATTTTTAAATACATTTTTGTGTAAAGAAATGCATTGAGGTTCTTTTTTTTCATGTAGGTGTCCAATTATTCTTGCATATGTTAAAATGACTCTCCTTACTCCACTAAATTGCCATCTCATCTTTTACCATGTATGTATGTGTTTCTTTCTGGTCTTCTGTTCCAATAATCTATTTCTCTATTCCTGTGTCAAAACCACACTATTTTGATGAGCTTTAAAATAAGTCTTAGAATTAAGTAGCCTAAGTCATACAGTTTTGTTATTTTGTTTTTTTCTCAAAATTGTGCGATTCACTTCCTTTTCCAAATAAATCTGAATCAGTTTGGCAGTATCAACAAAATAGAATTTTTGAATGGCAATGAGTCAACTTGGAAAGAGTTGACATTTTAATAATCATGAGTCTTTTGACCCATGTACACATTACCTCTCTCCATTTGTTTTTCACTTTTTAAGTTTTATTTAGATTTGAGAGATAGAAGTGGAGAGAGAAGAAACATCAGTTTATTGTTCCACTTATTCATTGATACTTGCATGTGCCCTCACTGGGGATCAAACCCACAACCTTGGTGAATCTGGACACTTTAACCACCTGAGCTACCCGGCCAGGACTAAGTTTTCATCTTTTATTATCAAAACTTGGTGGGTTTTCACCATACAGATTTAGTACATATTTCGGTAGATTTCTACCTAATTATTTCATTGTGATACTACTGCAAATGGCATTTTTTTAAAAATTCCAAAATCTAGTTGCTTATTGATAGTATTTGGATGTATGATTGATTTCTGCACCTTTACTTTTAATTTTGTGGCCTGTTTAACTCACTCATGAGTTGTAGGAACCTTTTAATTCCTTGGGATTTTCAACATGTCATCTCTGAATAGGGACAGATTACATTTGATTTTCAGAACTTGAACTAGTCTGAGTTTCCCAGGATAAACTTCACTTGACCATGATGTATAATCCTTTACATATTGCTTGATCAACTTACCAATGTTTTATTGAGGATTTGGGCATCTGTACTCATGAGAAGTAGTGATACGTAGTTTTCTGTTCTTTGTCTGATTTTATTGTCAAGGTAATGCAGGATCATACAATTAATTTGGAAGAGTTCTCTTCTATCGAAGAGTTGGTTTTTTCATTTACTGTTAAGCAGAGTTCACCAGTGAAAATGCCTAGCCCATAGTTTTCTTTGCAGGAAGATTTTTAATTACAGAGTAAATTAAATAGATACAGGATTGTTCAAGTCACCTACTTTTCAAGTAAGCTTTGGTAGCTTTTCACTTTCAAGAAATTAGTCCATGTCATCGAAGTTGTCAAATTTATGAAAACGAATTTGTTCAAATTCTAGCATTATAGTCTTACCATTTTGGAGGTCTCTTATTTTTCTTTGCAATCTGGCTAGAACTTTAATTTTATTGATCCTTTAGGAACTAGTTTTATTTACAATGATATTTTCTGTTTACAAGTGATTGGTTTGTGCTTATTTCCTTTCCCTGCTTGCTCTGGGTTTAATGTGCTCCTCTCCTTCTAGTTCCTTAAGGTAGAAGGTAAATAATCTGTGATTTTTATTCTTTTCTAATGTAAGCAAATTCCCTTTAAATACTCATTTAGCTGTTTATCACAAATTTTTATGTTGTATTTTCATTTTAATTAAAACTCATTTTTTTTCCAATTTCCCTTAAGAATCCTGTTTTGATCTATATATTACTTTAAAATGTGCCATTTAATATCCAGGAATTTAAAAGTTTTCTGTTACTGATATCTAGTTTAATTTGGGGAAGGTCAAAGAACATGCTTTGTATGATCTGTTAATGTTTAATTTTACAGAATCATGTGTCTTCCAAACAATTCGCCATTGTTTAGTTCTTGGGTTAGGGAAGGAAGAAAAGCCTTATTCTTTTATCCATAGGACAGATACACATACAGTTTATAGACAGACAGTATTTTGTGATTTTAAAT